GCTGATGGTGTCCTTGACCCATCAGCGACCAGCACGTCATGCACAACACATGGCCATCCAATGCCTGTGCAAAGTCAAGTGGTTATAGTGGTGAATTACAGGGATCGGACTATGGGAATTTATTACTTAAACTACGCTTGGCTTGTGCAACCGTGGCGTCTGCGTCCCATCCTCAAAGATAACATGTGCGACGCAGGCAGCACATAATTGCATACCCGCGTGCGTGTCTTGTGAGAGGCCACGTGGTTGTAGTGGTGAACTACAGGGATCGGACAATGGTAATTAATCACTTAAACCACGTTGGGCTTCTGCAAGAGTGGCATGTGCGACCCTGTCCTCACAGACAACATGTGTCACACAGGCAGCACCTAACTGCATACCCGCATGCAAGGCCTGTGAGAAGACTACGAGTTGCTGCTCTAAAACAAGAATAATGGTGAGATTCACATCCTTATGATCTAAGACAATAATCATGTCCGCGGGCCAAAACACCGAACGAACAGTGGAACCACAAGTTGCTCACATGTCCAAAACAATTCTTTCTCAATTACTTGAAGCAGAAACATGTGTTAGCAATGGCATTTCTCGAATGCATATGTACCAAAAACACATCATGTCTGTTTCTGTTACCCATAACACATGCGTAGGCAACAAACATCATGTCTGTTTCTGTGAGCCATAACCGACTGACGTCTAACATTACTACTGAAGCCACAACCAGGGACACTAATGCCGTCACTTCTACTTCCCACTGTCATTACCTAAAAAGGGGCCAGTCCAAACAGTTACAATACTCATTGTCACTACAGTTACAGCCACAACGGTCATTGTCAAAGTAGTCTTTGTCATAGTATCTAAGGTCACAATGGAGAAAATCTGCTAACAAATCCATGTCGCAGCCTTCATGCAGCCACTCCAATACGATTTACGAGATCGAGCTGCAAAAGACAATAGTATGACAAATGCAGCCACAGCACGAAGCAACCTTGACGCAGCCATTACAATGCGATCTGCAGAGACTGAGTTGCAAAACACAATAGAACTACGCGCAACGGCGTCGGAAATTGTAGCTCCAAAACCGGATCTCGACGCCAGAGCGAAAAAAAGACGATTTTGAAGCACTTTTTTAAAAGGATTTTTAGAAGGAAAATCACTAGCGCCAAAATGGAGAAAATCTGCTGACAAATCACTGTGGCAGCCTTCATGCAGCCACTCCAATACGATTTACGAAGTCGAGCTGCAAAAGACAATAGTATGACAAATGCAGCCACAGCACGAAGCAACCTTGACGCAGCCATTACAATGCGATCTGCAGAGACTGAGTTGCAAAACACAATAGAACTACGCGCAACGGCGTCGGAAATTGTAGCTCCAAAACCGGATCTCGACGCCAGAGCGAAAAAAAGACGATTTTGAAGCACTTTTTAAAAGGATTTTTAGAAGGAAAATCGCTAGCGCCAAAATGGAGAAAATCTGCTGACAAATCACTGTGGCAGCCTTCATGCAGCCACTCCAATACGATTTACGAAGTCGAGCTGCAAAAGACAATATTATGACAAATGCAGCCACAGCACGAAGCAACCTTGACGCAGCCATTACAATGCGATCTGCAGAGACTGAGTTGCAAAACACAATAGAACTACGCGCAACGGCGTCGGAAATTGTAGCTCCAAAACCGGATCTCGACGCCAGAGCGAAAAAAAGACGATTTTGAAGCACTTTTTAAAAGGATTTTTAGAAGGAAAATCACTAGCGCCAAAATGGAGAAAATCTGCTGACAAATCACTGTCGCAGCCTTCATGCAGCCACTCCAATACGATTTACGAAGTCCAGCTGCAAAAGACAAGAGTATTACGTTTGCAGCCAAAGCAGGAAGCAACCTTGCAATCCCATTTACATTGCGGGAAGGATACTACAGTTGCAAATCACAATGGAATTCCATCGGCAACTCATCCACCAGCACCACTTGCAACCCCATTTACAATGCGGGAACGATCCTACAGTTGCAAATCACAATGGAATTCTGTCGACCACACATGCACGAAAAACAGCTGAAACCCCATTTACAATGCGGAACCGATCCGAGACCGATCCGAGACCAATCCGAGGATGATCCGACCACACACGAGACCGTCTCGCACCCGTCGCACCGCAGAGGTAGATCATCGAGGTTCGGGGACGGACTTTGTATGGAAAAACATAGGGTTTCGTGCATCTGCTATCTCTCAAAAACGCATTTAGTGCGAGACTTTCTGCAAAACTCCATCGGCAACTCCTCCACCAGCACCACTTGCAATCCCATTTACAGTGAGGGAACGATCCTAGAGTTGCAAATCACAATGGAATTCCATCAGCAACTCATCCACCAGCACCACTTGCAACCCCATTTACATTGCGGGAACGATCCTACAGTTGCAAATCACAATGGAATTCTGTCGACCACACATGCACGAAAAACAGTTGAAACCCCATTTACAATGCGGAACCGATCCGACCATGATCCGAGCATATCCGACCATGATCCGACCACACACGAGACCGTCTCGCACCCGTCGCACCGCAGAGGTAGATCATCGAGGTTCGGGGACGGACTTGGTATGGAAAAACATAGGGTTTCGTGCATCTGCTATCTCTCAAAAACGCATTTCGTGCGAGACTTCCTTCAAAACTCCATCGGCAACTCCTCCACCAGCACCACTTGCAATCCCATCTACAGTGAGGGAACGATCCTAGAGTTGCAAATCACAATGGAATTCCATCGGCAACTCATCCACCAGCACCACTTGCAACCCCATTTACAATGGGGGAACGATCCTACAGTTGCAAATCACAATGGAATTCTGTCGACCACACATGCACGAAAAACAGTTGAAACCCCATTTACAATGCGGAACCGATCCGAGAATGATCCGAGCATGATCCGAGCATGATCCGAGCATGATCCGACCACACACGAGACCGTCTCGCACCCGTCGCACCGCAGAGGTAGATCATCGAGGTTCGGGGACGGACTTTGTATGGAAAAACATAGGGTTTCGTGCATCTGCTATCTCTCAAAAACGCATTTCGTGCGAGACTTTCTCCAAAACTCCATCGGCAACTCCTCCACCAGCACCACTTGCAATGCCATTTACAGTGAGGGAACGATCCTAGAGTTTTAACTCTTTCTTTGACTAACTCTTTCCCTGACTAACTGTTTCTTTGACTAACTCTTTCCCTGACTAACTGTTTCTTTGCTAACTCTTTCCCTCACTAACTCTTTCTTTGACTAACTCTTTCCCTCACTAACTCTTTCTTTGACTAACTCTTTCCCTGACTAACTGTTTCCCTCACTAACTCTTTCTTTGACTAACTCTTCTTTGACTAACTCTTTCTTTGACTAACTCTTTCCCTCACTAACTCTTTCTTTGACTAACTCTTTCCCTGACTAACTGTTTCTTTGACTAACTCTTTGTTTGACTAACTCTTTCTTTGACTAACTCTTCCCCTGACTAACTCTTTCTTTGACTAACTCTTTCTTTGACTAACTCTTTCCCTGACTAACTGTTTCTTTGATAACTCTTTCTTTGACTAACTGTTTCTTTGCTAACTCTTTCCCTCACTAACTCTTTCTTTGACTAACTCTTTCCCTGACTAACTGTTTCTTTGACTAACTCTTTGTTTGACTAACTCTTTCTTTGGCTAACTCTTTCCCTCACTAACTCTTTCTTTGACTAACTCTTTCCCTGACTAACTGTTTCTTTGACTAATTCTTTCTTTGACTAACTCTTTCTTTAACTAACTCTTTCCCTGACTAACTGTTTCTTTGACTAACTGTTCTGTTTCTTTGCTAACTCTTTCCCTCACTAACTCTTTCTTTGACTAACTCTTTCCCTGACTAACTGTTTCTTTGACTACCTCTTTGTTTGACTAACTCTTTCCCTCACTAACTCTTTCTTTGACTAACTCTTTCCCTGACATTCTAAAAGTCCGTAACACGGAAGTTTCTCCCCCTAAACTTCCTTTGAACATCATGGGAGCGCGCAAGTACGTGAACGTTATTACCTCACCCCACCCCACCCCTGCGTGACGTGACACATCTTCAACGTAGCATGACGTATCTGCGCAATTGTGCGCACGTGCAAGTGAACGTGCCGTGGCGTAACATCATGGGAGTGCGCAAGTACGTGAACGTTATTGCCCACCCCACCCCACCCCTGCGTGACGTGACACATCTTCAACGTAGCATGACGTATGTGCGCAATTGTGCGCACGTGCAAGTGAACGTGCCGTGGCGTAACATCATGGGACTGCGCAAGTACGTGAACGTTATTACTTAGCCAGGCTGCTGTTTTATAACTAGTTAGCAGGGTTAGCACATGTTACTAACTATATTCTAATTAGGTTGTAACTATGCTTTAACTAGGTCTTAACTAGTTATAACTTTCTTAACAAGTTATGATTATTACTAACTTTTTAAAAAAGTTAGCTAACTTTCTTAATTATGTTAATTTTGCTAATTAATTAGCAAAGTTATAACTAGTTAGCTTCAAAATTAAGATAGTGTAAATGTGCACTTTGTGTATTTGATTTTGAACATTTTCAACAGAAAAACACGGTTTCTTAAAAGCCAAAATCACATTAGCCATTTGGCTGCATTCAAACATTAGCCATTCCCAGGCTGAACCTCAACATTAGCCATTGCAGGCTTCACCAGCTGACATATTGCAGCATTGGCCATTACCAGGCCCACTTGGTCAAAGCCCCTTGTTTGTTTTGCTGCTTTGGCCCCAAAGCTGTCAACTTCTTTGGAGCCATGGAGCCTGCTGTGGAAGTGTCACACATTGTTTGTGTGAAGAATGGTGGTGGCAAGAAGATCCAAATCCCTGAGCAGCTTGTTGTGAAGGACATGCTGGGTTACAAACTCAAACCCACCTCAAGTGTGTTTTGCTAGCAAGCTTATATGGCTGAGAGGTTTGCCCCAATGTGTTTGGGAAATGTTGGGTTCAAAATGCATGCAGGACTCAGAAGGTGTTCAATATTTGAAGCTTGCAGCTACCAACTACACCATTTGCAAGCTGGTCTGTGGTGAGGGGCAAAAGAATTCTTCCTTGGCTGGTGGTGGCAAGCTTCAAGAGCTTAAGGACCTCAGGAACCAAAAAGTTGGTCTGACCCCAGAAGCAGCTGATGAAGAACAAGGTGGTGATGAAAGTGCTGGCAGCAAAAGGAAAGCAGGTGTGCACAAGCCACCCACTGTAGTTGAGATTGAATTGGATGGGACCAAAGTCAAAGTCCTGTGTCCACCCAAAAGGATTGCACAAAGCGATTTGATGGTGCAACTTGACCCTGTCCAGTTGGATGCAGTGTTCACTTTCCTTGGTCCTGACTGCCAGTCACTGGCTTCAACCAGGTCCTATCAGAAATCTGGCAAATTCTGCAAAACAGGTGGCAAAGAACCATGTGCTGATGGTCAAGTTGAGGGCTAAGAGAGCCTTGATGGCTGGGTGTTCAAAAAAGGCTGACACAGTGCTGGCACCAGATTAGCCTATACAGATGGCTTGGTTCAAAAAGGTTCAAAAAATTAGCCTGCTACTCTGCAGGCCTACACATTAGCCAGATTAGCCTTCCATGGATTGGCATTGGCTCATTTCTTTCACTGGCTTCCAATTAGCTTCCATGGCTCAGAATGACAGCATGTTCAGCCAGCACATGAAGAGTGCACCTTGCTTCATGGGGTTTGGTGTGGCAGTGGCATGTTGGCTCACAGCCTTGAAGTTACAAAACCAACACATGGGCTTTGAAGAAAGGCTTACCACCACAAATATACTTACAAAGCTTACAAAGCCATCAAACAATTACACAGCTGTGCAGCAACACCACCAACAACTTTTGAAAGTTTTGTCACAAACAACTCTTGAAAGCTGTGGAACCATGGAGCCTGCTGTAAAAGCAGAAATGGAACAGCTGCTAAAGAGCAGTGCCCCTGTGAACTCGAAGCTGGAGCAAGTCATCAAGCTGTTGACTTCCAAAGGCTTAGCCTATGAGGTGGTCCTCAAGCCAGAAGATTTGTTGTGCCACCCTGCTAACAGAGGTGGTGCCATGGTCAATGGCTTCGATGCTTGGGCCAAGGGGAACAGTGTGCTGACCACAGGCTTGAAGCCCAGCTTGCTCCCTCCCAACAGCTTCTGCATGGAGATGGACCCTGCCAGAAGAGATGGTCAGCTCCAGGCCAACCAACAGATGTGTGCCAAAGCTGAGAACTTGTTGGGCACAGTGATGGGGACAGAGAGATACCTGACTCTGGGCACATCTCACTTTGTGATGTACTGCAGGGCTCTTCAGCAAGGTGTTCCTGGACCAGAAGGTGAGAGGGTGAAGCCACCTCCAGAGATGTCTGCTCTGCTGGCATCTGGTTGGAAATGGGTGGCAATTGCAGCTGTTGTGGAAACTGCATTTCCTGGGTTTCCTTCCTGGTGCCAAGCTACTTTGAACAGTGTGAACAGTACGAACAAAGTGGTAGGTGAACTGGAGGCAATGCTTCAAATCAGTGCTTACTTGAGAGAAGGCCAGGCCATGAACACTGCAGTGGATCTGGTGAAAGCAGCAGCACCAGCTTGCGGAGCTTACCTAGAGGACATAGGTTACTTCTGCAAGCTTTTTCTTGGAGGAGACAAGTTCCCCTTGTTGGAGCAACTGAAGAATTTCAGTTCCCTGGCCATTATTTGTTAAGAAATTATGATTTATTTATCTATCAGCTTTAATGGCTCATATTCATTAGCCTTATACTGGCTCATGCCTTGAAACAGCTTGAGTCATTAGCCTTCCTGGCCCATGTTTTGAGACAGCTTCAGTCATTAGCCTTCCTGGCTCATGTATTCACATAACTTCATTTATTAGCCTTAGTGGCTCATACTCATTAGCCTTCATGGCTCATGCTTTGAGACAGCTGGAGTCATTAGCCTTCCTGGCTCATGTATGTGCATAAATTCATTTATTAGCTAAATTGGCTCATGTTCATTAGCTTGCCTGGCTCATGTATGATGGCATTGGCCTGCACAAGAGTTTGTTGTTGGAACTGAGGCATGAAGTTTGGCCCTACTCTCTTGATTGGCCAAGAAAGTATGGCATTGCTGAGCTTCTATGACTTCAAAGTGGAGGGCAATTCTCTTTTGTTCACCAGATTTGCCCTGCTGTCAGCAATGCTGACAAGCAAGAAGCATGCTGATGGGTACCAGAAGTTGATCTTCAAGAATGACTTTGACAAAATGGCCAGGCCTTTGAAGCAGCAGACTGTGCAGATGGAGACAGTTTTGAAGGATGCCTGGGTCAAAGTTCAAGATGGCAACATTGCTGCTGAGATCAAGAACCTGGCATATGGAAAGCTGGCTGTGAGGTGTGTTCTCTACTTACTTGGTAAGCAGAAGCTTGGCAGAGACAATGTGCAGTTTGAAAGCATGGAGGAAATCACTTCTGCATACTGCCATGAGCTGCTGGGGAAAGATGATGATGCTGCACCAGCAGCTTCCAGCTCCCAAGGGCCCCAGGTGAAGGATCTCATCCAAGCCAGTTCTGCTGAAGTTGCTTTGATTCAGCATTCCCATTTGAAGATCAATGAGCAGTATCTAGATTGCAAGGTATGGGTCCACTTACCTTGCAGTATTTGGAACATCCCTTACATTAGCCCAATGGGCTTCTCTTGCACTAGCCTTCATTAGCCTTTAAGGCTCTTGTCTGACACTAGCCTCTTGGGCTCATTTCTTTGAAAGGGATGTGTGCATCAGACTTTGTGTGGGTAAAGCATGGTTAGAATGCAATGGTGTCCACAAGCCTGTGTGGCTAGCTAAACATGGCTCCAGATCATGTTGGCTTTGCCCAAGGTATATCCACCAGAAGAAGCACACAGACAAAGTGTTCATCCTGAAGGCATTGACCAGTGACCACTGCATTTTTCAGCATGAGCCTTTGTTTGGTGAGAAAATTTTGGTGACCTCTGGGTTGGATGAACTGAAGCTATGGAAAAAAACCAAGAAGGATTTACCAAAGCTTGCACCTGAAGAGTTTGTTTCCCAGAGAATGGTGGGAAAAGTTGGGCAGCCACTTCTAGACTACAACAAAGCCTATGTGGACTACGTTTTGCATGAGGCATACTTTGCCAACCTTGTCAAGGGGAAGTTGCAGCTCTCCTTGAGCCCAGCTGGTGTGTACAGCAGCATCAAGTTCAAGAAAGGAGACTTGCAGCTGTATCCATTGGGCCATGCCCAGCTGATCAAGCCTGAAGAGAAGAAGAAAACCAAGAACCTGGTTGTGCATTATGGGGGGTACCATTTCCAGATCGTGCCCTACAAGGCTGTGACAAGTTTTGATGCCAAGGACAAGGGCCACCTGATTCCTTTGTACTGGGTCCAAGACACAGAAGAAGATAGCAAGTGCAACATGGCTTCGAAGAGCATTGGTTTCATGGATTTGAAAATTCCAATTTTGTACAATTCTGTGCCCATCAATAGCATGGACCAGCTTCTGAAAGCAGCACCTGCAGAAGCTGCTGATGGTTCTACCGAGAAGAAAGCTAGAACCACTTAGGGCATCAATGGATATGCCAGCTGTGCTGACTGCTGGCCAAGGTGGAAAAGGAGAAAAGACACAACATGTGCAAAACCATTAGCCTTTCTGGCTCATGCCTCACATTAGCCAAGATTTGGCTTACCTTTGCCTCACTGACTGCTCATACATATTAGCCTTAGTGGCTGATGCATTACATTGCTTCACTCACCAGCCTTCCTGGCTCATGTTTGCCATAATCACAGCCCTTTACCTGAGTGCTTCAGACTCATTAGCCTGCTTGGCTCATTTATGATCACATTAGCTTATGGGGCTTTGCAATGATTCCTGCACAGCATTCATTTCAGAAATGCAGATTTGTTACTTGCAGCCATGTCTGGTGATAGCACTGGTGATTGCAGGCCTGACTTAAGGCTCAAAATGAAAAGGCATTTGCCTGGTTGGGAAGAGCCTGTGCCTAAACAAGGCAAATGGACCTCTTGGGATGAATGGGAGTCTTGGGAGGACCTGGGTTGAAAAATTGTAACAATACGTACTTGCCAAGAAATGATTTGGGAAGTTAATGCTATTTGTTCATGGATGCATGCTTTACCTGCATCTGTTCACTGGCAGGACCAGCCATGGAGGGAGAACTTGCACTGGTCCAATGACTCTGCACCCTGGCACTGGGAGCAGCCTCCTCTGACACCCCCAAGTGATCCTCCTCCAGGCCCTCCAGAATGGCAAGGTGATGATGCAGACACTGAAGCCTCATTCCACCCTGAGGACATGGCTGCTGATGATGCTGAAGACCATGCTGGTGACCTACATCTTGCAGGAGATGGAGAATATGAAATGGCTGAAGGCTATGACCAGCCTCAGCCTGAAGGCTATGACCAGCCTCAGCCTGAACCTGCGCATGAAGGCCACACATGGGACCAAGCTGAACCAGAAGAAGAAGCTCCTTGGGAGACAAATCCAGTGACTGTGGATGGTGCTACAGCAGAAAGGCAATTTGCGTGGGATCCTGCTGATCTCCCTCATGTACGCAGTGACCTGGGACTGCAGCCTTTGTTGAGGACTACCAGGCATTCACCTGCTGCTGCCCACCCACATGATGACAACCTGAATGTGGAGAATGTGCTGAACAAGATGGAGCACCAGCCACAGTATGTGCCAGACTTTAGCCAACAAGGACAATATAAATCTGGCTGGATGAATAAGTGTATCCTGCTGGTTGCTCTCTGGAAAGAGAGAAGGTTCAGGCATCTGGAAGATGTTTGCAACCGTTTTGCAGGACATCATAGTATCTCCCACAATGTAAGGTGCCTGCAGTCACACATCAGAAAGCATGGTGACAAAGGGCCAGTCTTGATGGGCTACCGATACTAGCTTCCTGGTGGTCAAAAAAAATGCAGCTTGAAAGAATGCTTTGCAATACATTAGCCACTTGTGGCTCATACTCATTAGCCTGACACATGGCTTGCCAATTTCATTAGCCAAGCTGTGGCTTACCTTTCAAGCATGGGTTGCTTTTTTGATTAGCCTTAGTGGCTTATCTATTGGCATTGCTTCACTCATTAGCCTTCATGGCTTGTATGTGCTACAATCACAGCCTGTTGTCTCAGTGATCCAGACTCATCAGCCTGCTTGGCTCATTGGTGATCACATTCATGTCAATTGATTGCATTTGAAGACTATATTTGAATAATTAACAATACAAATTTAAATTCAAACAGCAAAAGTGTAATCCAAACAGTTTACATTTCGATTCAGTCAACTGAATTGAAATCCAAACAGTTTACATTTCAATTCAGTCAGCTGAATTGAAATCCAAACAGTTTACATTTCAATTCAGTCAACTGAATTGAAATCCAAACAGTTTACATTTCAATTCAGTCAACTGAATTGAAATCCAAACAGTTTACATTTCAATTCAGTCAGCTGAATTGAAATCCAAACAGTTTTCATTTCAATTCAGTCAGCTGAATTCAAAATCAAACAGTTTTCATTTCAATTCAGTCAGCTAACTTGATCTACCAATCACATACTAACATTGATTCCAATGATATACATTCAGTTTCCTTTACCTTCTTAGCTTAGTTCTAACTGAGCCATGGCAGCCTGGACACTGGCTGACATCAAGAAAGAGATCCTTGACCTTTCCAAGCTCAATGATAGCAGGCCCAATGATGCGATTGTTGCCAGGATGGTGACACAAGTTGAGAGGAAGCTGGAATCAGCTGGTGCCATATCAGCTACAACTCTGATTGACCTGTCAGAGATTATTACAAGCACTTCTCTATCAGATGAACTGAAAAGGTCTTTGCAAAGCAAAGTTGACGATTTGGCCATGAGTGGTTCTAATGGACCTCTGCAATTGGTTTCGAAGTCACAGTCTTTGGAGACAATCTACAACTACTTGTCTGTCAGTGAGTTTGAGAAGGTGCAAAGCTCACCACTACCAGTGGCTACACAGATCTGCTGTAGCAGGCTCAGGATGATTGGCATCAAGTCTTTGAAGGAGAAGACAAAGAAAAGCACACTCGCTTTTCTCTTGCATTTGCTGCAAGCCAGAGGTGAGCCAATGCCCACACCTGCAGAGGTCTACAAGTTGTCAGCCTATGTGGCAACTTCCTTTCATGAGAACCAAGTGCAACCTTTGGTCCCTGGGTTGGCTACGTATCCCAGTACTCCTGCAGAGATTGGCCAAGATCCTCTTATGCATTTTAGCTTGGCTGAGTTGAATACACATTAGCCTTGGTGGCTTAACACAATCATTGGCCTCATATTGGCTCAAAGTTCACACTAGCCTTTTATGGCTTGCATGTTAGTTTGGCTGAATTAAGTACACATTAGCCTTGGTGGCTGCAAATAATCATTAGCCTTGTGCTGGCTCACATTTCACATTAGCCTTTTGTGGCTTGAAGTCTTTGATCTTTGATGCATCCCTAGTGTCATGTCATGTGTGATCTGAGGAATTCATTGATGCTGCCTATGGCTCTGACAAGCCAGTGATCCCAAGTTTGGATTTGCTTTCATCAGTTGGTTGCATGAAGAAACAATTTGGAGTAAGGAAAACACATGCATCACTGGAAGGCAGCAATTTGAGGGCAGGCAAGCAACAACAAAAAGAGCCACTGCAGCTTAATGATGACACATTGCTTGCATTCCAACATCTTTGTGCAGCAGCAAGGCAAATGGACACTCTCTCAAGAGTAGCCACACCACAAAAGTATAGTGAGAGAAAGCCCAGTAGCATTTCAACATTGCCACTGTCCACCAGCCAGTCATCTTTGGGACAAGTCAGCCCAAGCAATGCTGCACAGCCAGCACCCAGTGGCTCCTCAGTGCAAAGCCCAGCAGATGCCACCCCTGCAGCACCTGACCAGCTAGCACTGCCAGCTCCAGAGCCACAAGTTGAAACAAAAGCAGCAAATGATACCCATGGCAAACAGCAGAGCAAAAGTCTTGAAGAGTATGAAGAGCAAGCAATGAATCAGATTAGCCACAAAAAGACACCAATGAAAAGGCCAGCTAGTGCAAAGCCACCTCCAAGCATGAAAGTTTTGAAGAGACCAAGTGCCAAGAGTGATCAAAGCAAAGCAGATCCAAGCACTCCAGTGACAAACCCACAGGACAGCACAAAGAAAAAAAACAAATGACATGCTGGGGATGCTCCAGGTGCCGAGGAAATGTGCATGGCTGTGATGGATGTGCTTTTGCTGGCTTTGCAGGCCAGAGACTGAATGGAAGGGATGCTTGGAAGAAGTGGATGAACGATAAAAAGAAAATGGGGTGATGTAGCCAGCAGATAAAATGCTGCAAGCATGGGAAATCCCATGCATTGGGGACAGGTGCTGGGCAAACAAGCCCATGGATGGGGTCAAACAAAGTGCTCCTAGTACACATTAGCCTTTCTGGCTTGCTTACATTAGCCTTTCTTGGCTTACCTTAAGAAACACATTAGCCACCATGGCTGCACTACCTTTGATACATTAGCATTCATTGCTTGCCATTGTACATTAGCATGTTTATGCTCATCCCCCTGCTTGCATGGAATCACTCTGCAGAGCATGATTGTGACCAGCTTGGAAAGAAGCTCACCCCTGGCATGCATGAAGGGTTGAGAAGCTCAAGCCTGCACCTCCCTGCCTTCCCTGTGAGCTAGCTGCCACCATGGATGCTGAGAGGTTTGCTGCTTACAGCTCTTTCCTCCTGGGCATCAGAATCCTGAGCACCTTGGATGGCATGGCCAACAAGCTGAAGATCTATGTCAAGCCAGATGGAGAGCATGAGGCCAAGGTGTATGATACCATCGAGTGGTGTGACCAAGAGTGGCTGGGAAGGATGCACAGAGAAACTAGGCTATATTGAAGATAAAAAATTGTAAAGCCCACACATTAGCCATGAAAGCATTTTTTCTGTGCACCTACACAGTAGCCATCAAGGCTGCAAAAACATTTTGGCACACATGCACATAAGCAGCTTGAAATGCAATATGGCAAATGCCAACTCCATATAACAATTTAATTGCAGCACATTAGCCACTGAGGCTGTGGAAAAAATCATTGATTGATCACACATTAGCCAAGAAAGGCTTTCATCATGGAAAAGATGTGGGTTGGCTAAGCTGGCCACATTTGATAAGTAACCAAACCAACTAAGGATGCCAGAGCCTTCATGGATGTGGTGCTGCGAGACCCCCAGCTGAAGAAGCTCTTCTTTGCCTACCAGGTGATCGAAGGGGTTGAGTTTATGGCTGTGATCAATGGAAAGATTGTGGAAAGTCCTTTGAGGTGGGTGGCACCCAGAGCAAAGCTCTGAGTCCCTGCTACTGGCTGTGCACTGGGTTGAATCCAGCTGATGGCTGTGTCAACTCGAGCTGATGGCTGTGTGCACTGAACAGCAGAGATGGCTGTGGGCACTGTGAGTGGAAAAAATCCAGCTGCAGCTTCTGCACTTTGCACTTGGCTTTGAAATATTAGCCACAAAGGCTCATCCCTTAAGACATTAGCCATACAGGCTCAATCCTTTTCAGGAATGTAGCCATGCACAGCCTTTGAAAACATTAGCCATGCAGGCTCAACCCTTGAAGACATTAGCCATGCAGGCTCAGCCCTTCAGAACTTTGGCCATGCAGGCCCAACCCTTCAGAACATTAGCCATGCAGGCTCAGCTCTTGAAGACATTAGCCATGCAGGCTGAACCCTTGAAGCTCTTGAAATTAGATTCCCCTTTTTGCATACTAGTTTTCGATCTCTCTTGCAGCTGGTGAATGGTGACTGCACAGTTGTGTGGCCAACAGCAGCCTTGCTTGGCTCCATGCTCCAGGCAACACATGTTTGCAATGATTTGCCACCAGTGGTTGCAGAACAGCATCCCAATCTCTTTCGTCTTGCAATGCCATGGCTTCTTCTAGTGGGAAAAGGGTAGCTGCTTTTGAAGATGACAAGGCAGCCAAGCACAAAAGGCTAACTGATTTCAAGTCAGGCTTGCCACACTGTTCTCAGAATGCTTTGTCAGCAATCTTGGGCAAAGTGAAGAAGGAAGGCATTCCAGACAGTACATCACCCAAAGATTTCAGGGCTGCCAGCAAAAGCTTGCTTGAAGAAATGACACTGTATGGGCCTATATGGCAAATTTCCAATGCAACTACCCTGGAAGGAAATGTGGTTGAAATCAAACACCTCAATGTGTTGTCCTTTCTGGCTGGCTTGTACTACAATGGTGGGAGTTTTCAATCTTACTTGGACAAACTTCACTCAGAAAGGCCAAGCTCAGTGGACAGACCATGGCAGGCAATCCTTTTTTCAGATGAAGTGCACCCTGGGCACCAGCTGAGTTCATCTGCCAAGAAAGTGTGGGCAATATATTTTGCATTTGTTGAATATGGAAGCTTTTTGTCGAAAGAAGATTTATGGATTACTCTTTATGTTGGCAAATCTTCAACAGTTCAGCAGCTGTGCAGTTCTATTGGCCAAGTCTTCAAGCTTGTTCTGGAGAGCATGTTTCAAAACCCAATGGCCAACCCTTTGTATGGTGTCAGACTCAAAAAAGAAAATGGCCAGTGTTTAGTGCTTCATTGGACAATGGCCATGTGGCTGCAAGATGGAGCTGCACAGAAGATGACTTTTTCCAACAAACAAGACTCTGGATCAAGAATATGCATGCTGTGCAAGAACCTGTTCAGTGCAAAGGGTGGGGAGGGCATTGAAAAAGAGAAGGTTCTTCAAAAGCATATCAAGCTGAAAGACTTGGACCTCAATTCATCTGATGAAATCTTACAGTCTTGGCAGAGGATGAAGGAAAGAGAGGCAAATCTCAACAAAGGCCAGTTCAAAAAATGGATGCAGGCCACTGGAATTGATTTTACACATGAAGCCTTGCTCCTCAGTGACCCACTCAAGGAGCTGCAGCTGCTCAAACCTGTTGAGCAATATGTTCCTGACCTCATGCATGCCCTTTGTAGCAAAGGTTGCCTTTCATATGTGACATTCTGGGTGTTGGAAGCCTTGTGTGAAGGGGGGATGGCTGATATATACGAGAGGCTACAATCGTATTTGCAACTTTGGTGCCAGCCCAAAGCTTTGAGCACCTTCAAGGCCCACTTGCTCTTTGACAAGAAGGCTGTTGATGGCCACAAATCTGCTGGCTACATCAAAAGCAGTGCAAGTGAGATGCTTGCATTGCACAAGCCTTTGGCATATTTCATTCAGAGCTGCTGCCTTGCAAACAACTTCATGGTGGACCAATGCAAATGTTTCTTGAACTGGCCTGCAGTCTTGGAATATTGCATGTGTATTCCCTTTCTTCAAAGGCCATCACCAGAACATGTGCTGCATTTAGTGGAGACAGCCTTGGCAAGCATCGTGACATGTGGGTGGGGGCCTGATATGAGGCCAAAAATGCATTGGCCTCTTCATTGGCCACATTGCTTGAAAAGGTTTGGCCTTCTTCTCAGCTGCTGGAGTTTGGAAAGAAAACATAAAGTTGTGAGGAGACAGGGAAGCTTGTGTTTCAACATGGAGCACTATGAAATGTCTGTTTTGAGGGAGGTGCTATGTGATCAAGTTTCAGCCTTGCATTCTACTAAAGATTTGGTGCTGGGTTGCTGTCTACAAAGCCCCAAAACCAACAAGAAAGCCCAGGCCATTTTGGCACAATACAACATTGAATGCCAGCAAGTGGCAAGATCTTGTAAACTGAGCAGTGGCTTGGAGGTGGCTGTGGAAGATATGGTCCTGTTCCAATCTTCTGGGCTTGTGCCCATGAGGTGTGGCAAAGTTTGCTATCTGCTGGCAAGCAATGGATATTTGTTGGCTTTGGTAGAAGAATACCAACTTGCAGACAGCAACAAAGAGATGCTTTTTTCCAAGTGGAAGACATCTGCTGCCACTTTGTGCCTTGTTGAAGTGAAATGCATTCGAACAGCTGTCACTTACAGTGTCTCCTCCAACGTTGGCTTGGTTGTCCTGGAGCCCTATCATGTTGCCAAAGGCACATGAATGACTTTGTCTGTTGGCAGGGCAAAAGACAAAAGTGTAGCTGCAAGGGAACTGCAAGATAGCAAGTGGTTCAAACTCATTAGCCCAATAGCTCAAAGTAACTAGCCCAATGGCTCAAAGTCATTAGCCAAATGGCTGAAACTCATTAGCCACATGGCTCAAATTCAAAAACCAATACATTCATTTCAAAATTGTTTAGTTTGGATTCTCTGTTTTTGAAACTCGAAATGTTTAGTTTATTTTCTTGAAATTCAACATCAAAAACATTGAAATTAGAAAAGTTATGAAAGTTATAACTAGTTATAATTTCTATCCTAATTTATCTAACTATCATAACTAGTTATAAAACAGCAGCCTGGCTAAGTACCCCACCCCACCCCGCCCCACCCCACCCCACCCCACCCCACCCCTGCGTGACGTGACACATCTTCAACGTAGCATGACGTATGTGCGCAATTGTGCGCACGTGCAAGTGAACGTGCCGTGGCGTAACATCATGGGAGCGCGCAAGAACGTGAACGTTGTTACCACACCCCACCCCACCCCACCCCAAGGAACATATATAAAAATGCCTAAAACGCTCGGACGGTTTTCAACCCGTAGGCTGAAACATGGTGTGTGACAAAGTGGTGTGTGACAGATGGTGTGTGAAAAAGTGGTGTGAAAGATGGTGTGTGTGACAAAGTTGTGTGTGTGAAAGATGGTGTGTGAAAGATGGTGTGTGACAAAGTGGTGTGTGAAAGATGGTGTGTGAAAGATGGTGTGTGAAAAAGTGGAGTGAAAGATGGTGTGTGACAAAGTGGTGTGTCAAAGATGGTGTGAGAGCCAGCCCAGAGCCATGAGTGCCACGCCTGCCACGCAAAACGAACGTAGATGCGCCACCCCTGCCACGCAAAGTGACGGTCGATTGTCACGAAGTGCCACGCCTGCCACGCAGAGTTCAGGTGGATGTGACCAAGTGCCACGCCTGCCACGCAAAGAGCCGCGGCGTCCACGGCGTCAGCTGAGAACCCGGTGCGCCACCAGAGCCCGCCCAGTGCCGTAAGTACCACGCCTGCCACGTGAAACGAATGTGGATGTGACCAAGTGCCACGCATGCCACGTGAAACGAAGGTGGATGTCGCCAAGTGCCACGCCTGTCACCTATAGTGCCACGCCTGCCACGCAAAGTGAAGGTGGATGTCACCAAGTGCCACGCCTGCCACGCAAAGAGCCGCGGCGTCCACGGCGTCAGCTGAGAACCCGGTGCGCCACCAGAGCCCGCCCAGTGCCGTAAGTGCCACGCCTGCCACGTGAAACGAATGTGGATGTGACCAAGTGCCACGCCTGCAGGTGGATGTCGCCAAGTGCCACGCCTGTCACCTATAGTGCCACGCCTGCAACGCAAAGTGAAGGTGGATGTCACCAAGTGCCAGTGCCACGCCTGCCACGCCTGCCACGCAAAGAGCCGCGGCGTCCACGGCGTCAGCTGAGAACCCGGTGCGCCACCAGAGCCCGCCCAGTGCCGTAAGTGCCACGCCTGCCACCACGTGAAGTGCCGCGCCTGCCACGTGAAACGAATGTGGATGTGACCAAGTGCCACGCCTGCCACGTGAAACGAAGGTGGATGTCGCCAAGTGCCACGCCTGTCACGAAGGTGGATGTCAGGAAGGACAAGTTGTGTGTGTGTGTGGACAAGTTGTTTGATGACACGTGTGTGTGTGAGTAATGTATGAGTAAGGCAAGTTGTGTGTGAGCAAGTTGTGTGATGACAAGTTGTGTGAGTTGAGTTGCATGTGAGCAAGTTGTGTGTGAGTTGAGTTGTTTGAGTTGCATGTGAGCAAGTTGTGTGTGTGAGTTGAGTTGTGTGTGAGCCAGTTGTATGACGACAAGTTGTATGTGTGAGCAAGTTGTGTGTGTGAGTTGAGTTGTGTTTGAGCAAGTTGTATGATGACAAGTTGTATGTGTGATATGTGAGCAAGTTGTGTGTGAGTTGAGTTGTGTGTGTGTGAGCAAGTTGTGTGAGTTGAGTTGTATGTGAGCAAGTTGTGTGTGAGTTGAGTTGTGTGTGAGTTGTGTGATGACAAGTTGTATGTGTGATGACGGGAGGCGGCGGGAGGAGGAGGAGGAGGAGGAGGAGGAGAAGGCGGCGGGATACAGAACCAAAAACAAGAACCCCACACAAAGATGTGGGGGAAAACAAGAACCCCACACAAAGATGTGGGGAAGAAATCGCAGTTCCATGATTCCATGAATATGTTCAAAAACAGCATGAGGAATATATTTCTGAAGCAGCAGGTCCTCATTCAGTAGCTTTCAAGCCCACCCTGCGGTGACATC